TTCCCGGAAGGATCAGCAATTGGTTTTTATAACAGAGGCTTATTCTTGGCACGCCTTCCCTTCCCTGCCCATAGAATGAGCCTCAGACAACATCCTCCTCTGGGGGCTTATTGAACTGCAAACCATAGCCACCATCACAGTCCTTTGGTTTCCTTATGTCCTGAGCCACTCAGGCAAGAAGAGGTGTCACTATCTTGGCAGAAGGTCAAGCTGTTGTTATACCAGGAGGCCGGAGAAGTACCTGTGGGAACAGATGATCCACTTGGGGGTCTCTTGGTGCTCCCTGGCCTCTTATAACTGTAAATGGACACATGTAGCAACCCCAACCTGAGAAGTTACCTCAGAAATGGACCTTTGGGTCATACACCAGGAAAACCACCAAGACCTATTGAAGTGATGGCTGAAGGTGAAGGAAATTCAGAATAGATAATGAAGGTGGGAGATGAGTACCGGTTTCCCTGGTAGCAACTCCAACAATGCTCCGTTCTCTAAGTTTTCCTTTAAGACCAGAGGCCCTGGGGACCATGGAAGAGCTGTTCCCTGAGCCCACGTGGAGAAGTAGATCTATGTTCCGTAGGGGCTGTGGCTGCTTAGCTGAGCCCCAGGGCTCTCTAACGTTTAGAAGGAAACAGAAGAGAAAACAAGCGTCTCGCGGGCGGACCACTGAGAGGACAGAGCTGCAGAATGGAAACAAACTGCTCAAATCTCCTGCTGTGGGGAGTGTAATTAATTGACTGACAACCCTTCTAGATCCACCACCATGTTCACACAGAAACCTCGATGCCCCTGGGCTGCTCCAGGCGTGGCTGAGCACGGCGGGGGTACTAGAGCAGACCCATTACTGAAGGTCACGGAACAGCTCTAATGGGAAACTTTGGTTCCAGGAATTTCCCATCAACTTGGTCAAACTTTCAAAGAACTGTGAGGCTGTTTGAGACTCTACTTACCCAAACCTCTTTCCTTCCTCCCCTCTTTTCACAGGTGTCATCGTGGTCTCTCAGTCTACTCCTGCTTCTTTTATGCCTCACAACGTGTAAAGCTCTTACACATCCAATCCCATCTTGGCATCTCCTTCTTGGAACACTAACTAGCACTTGCAGTTTAAAGCCATAAGATGGGGTGACATTGTCAAGGCTGTGAGTGCAGATGGGAATCAGAAGCGAACTGAGCACCAGGGCTCTCTAACATTTAGATGGAAACAGAAGAGAAAGGATGAACAACAGAGACTGACGGGGGATGGAGGAGAAAAAACCAAGAGAAGGCGGCATTCTTGAAACCAAGCAAACAAAGTGTACCCAAGAAAAGGAATGCTTGACTATGTCTCCAATGCTGCCAGGTGATGTAGGATAAGGATCACAGGATTTAATAAGGTGATGGTCTTGGTGACTTTGACAAGAGCAGTTTTAGAAATGGGTGTGGATGACTCTCACATCTTTTGTTTACTAGTAAGAGAGAATAGGAGAACAGGAATTGGAGATACTTAAGTACAGGCAACTTTTTTGAGTTTTATTGCAAAGGGGAACTGAGAAATGGGGCAGGAGCTGGCAGAGCAACTGAGGTCAAAGAAAGGATTCTTAGGATGTGAGAGATAGCAGCATATTGGTATGTTGAAAGGAATGATCCAGTGAAGGTAAGAAATTGATGATGTAAGCCAGTGATGGTGAACCTATGACACGCGAACTCATTTTTTTGGTTGATTTTTCTTCGTTAAATGGTATTTAAATATATAAAATAAATATCAAAATATAAGTCTCTGTTTTACTATGGTTGCAAATATCAAAAAATTTCTATATGTCACATGGCACCAGAGTTAAGTTAGGGTTTTTCAAAATGCTGACACGCGGAGCTCAGAAGGTTCGCCATCACTGATGTAAGCAGAGAGTGAGAGTGAAGCACTGCTGGAATGATGTTGAGTAGTGAGGATGAGGTCACTGAGGGGGAAGCTCTTCAGTGAGTCTCTGCCTCAGTTCCCTGCTTCTCCCAGGCCCAAGCCTGGGGTCAAGGGTGAAATTGGACACAAGTCCCCACCCTTCCTCACAGTGTTGCACCAGCTCAGACACTCACCAATCTGATTTCAGTTCCCTCTTTTGTGTTTGGTGTCCAGAAATTTTGCTTTGCTTTTTGTGATTTCAACTATGCTTTAAACTCACTTTGTAACTTTTATCCATTTCTTGTTTCTGCGCCTGGATTTTTTTCTGGCTACCTTACTGCAAATTTAAGTCAGCTAGTGTGATTTTTATCAAGTGAAGATATGATTAGGTTACCCCCTACTTAAAATCCTTTGGTGGTTTACAGTTACTCTAGGAACAAAATCCAGGCTTCTCAGAATAACAGATAAAACCTGTTCACCTCTGCAGCCTCAGGAAACACCAATATTCACTCATCAAGTATGTCAGTTTCCCTTGTTGGTTTCTGACCTTGGTGTCATTCTGAGAGTGGCCTTCTTCATTCTAAGATTATAAAACTATTCTATATTTAATACAGTGTGTTTTATTTTACCTTTTTTACATTTCAGATTTTAAAACTTTTTTAAAAATGATGTAATTACCTTTACTTTTTCTTACATTTTTAGCCAATTGCTTCAATGCCCTTTCTTCAATTTTAAATATTACTGATTTGAAACAAAGGCTCTGGCATATGTTTATTATTGGGGGGCAGAGCAGCCTGGGTGTGCATGTTGAATGCCAATTCTGTCTCTCCTCTGCTGTCGTGAGGATTTTTGGAGACAACTTTTGTGCAGCACTGGCACCAAAGGGGCATTTCCTAGTGGCATCGTGGGGGGTATCATTATGACTTAGTAGGAGTAATAGAATCAATGGATTTGGAGAAGCTCTATTCTATCCTGTTAATCTGATTGTCTATACCTCTGCTGGGACCGTACTGCTTTAACTTCTTATGGTTTGATAGAATGTTTTAATATCAAATAGGCAAAAATCCCGTGTGGACTTTAACTTTTTATAAGTAATTTTAAACACCTTTTTTATTGAACGTATAATAATGTTTTCATTGTTCCTATTTCACAAGTCATCAATTCTGATAAAAACATTCTAATGTTTTTTAGTATTTTAGGGTTCAGTATTTAGGATTTTTGTATTCAGAAGGTAATCCTTTAAAAAAAATTTATTGATTTTAGAGAGGAAGGGAGGCAGAGAGGGAGAGGGGGGGAAAACACCAGTGGCCTCCCACATGTGCCTTGACAGGGGATCGAACCCACAGCCTGGGCATGTGCCCTGATCTGCAATTGAACCCACCACCTTTTGGTACATGGGACAACATTCCAAACAACTGCACCACGCTGTTCAGGGCCAGATTGTTATCTTAATTCAGAATTTAAAAAAATAAAGTTTACCAGCAAAGAATTTCATAGGAAAATGTTGAGTAGCTTAGGGTTATTTTTATTGGCTTAATGTACCATGAGAAAGAAATTAGCCTATTATTTTTCATTGCAATTGAGAATCAAATGAGGAAATGGGTTTAAATTGCAACATGGTTTTCAGTTGAGCAAACATAAAGACTTTTTTTTTTTTTAAAGATATAAGTCTGATTAAGGAGTGAAGCATACTTCCAAAGAAAATGTTAAATACTATTCTGCAGGGTTTTTTTTAAATGTCTGACCTGGCCAGAATGGCTCAGTTGGTTAAGCGCCGTCCTGTATACTGAAAGGTGGCTATTTGGATTCCGGTCAGGGCACATACCTGGGTTGTGGGTTCCATCCCTGGTTGGGATGTGTACAGGAGGCAAATGATCCATGCTTCTCTCTCACATCAATGTTCAATGTTTCTCTCTCTCTCTCTCTCTCTCTCTCTCTCTCTCTCTCTCCCTTCCCACCTCCCCCCCCCCCCCCCTCCTCCTGTCTCTAACCATGTCCTCAAATGAGGATTTTTAAAAAATGTCTGGACTCTTTTGCTCTACTCCCTCCTTCCTTCTCTTATCCTGCTGAGGGGAAGGGAACAAAAACCCAGTCGGTTGCTTGAGGGGCCTTCTAACTTATAATTACATGAGCTGTAACCTTTAATGCAGACTAACCTGCCTTTTTCCAGGCATGTCAGGAACCATAGTACCACCATCCCCCATCGGTCTCACTTAAGAATGTAGTTCTTCCCAGGAGTATACATATCTTAAAACACTTATTTCCTTTTTCTTAATCAGTTTTTCTTGCTTTGTCATTAGTGTTTCAAGCATTCTACTGAGTCATTTTCTATTCCCATTCTCTCTGAAAATATGGCTTTTCCCTTGTTTATTTTCTGCACATATATCATGGGGCAGGGAGCAGCAGGGAATGGCCCTTCTCTGACCACCATGATTTAGCACTCTGCGGTTTCTTCTGCAGCATAGTTTTTTAAGTTACACTCACACTAATTTTATTAATGCTCTTCCCAGCCTCATGCGCATGATGGATGCTACTTTACATTCTAGGCAATAGCAGAATACGACCAGTGAGCTGGAAACGAAGAAAATAATGGGGGACTCGGGGCATGCTGTTTCCCGCGGAGTTTCCATTTCCAATAACTGCATTGCTTTGGGTTCACCTGATTTCACCCAGTGTTATCTAGAGCTAGTATTATAGCGGATGTCATGTGAGATGTTGTGGAGTTATTCATCATTCAGCAAATAGTGATTGAGAGCCATCTGTTAGGTGTTGGGAAGAAACTAGACATAAGGTTTTCTGTCTGGCAGGATTGGCAGACATAAGTGTTACACATACTATGGGAAAAAAAAGCTGTCAATTTATTTATTCAACACACATTTCCCAACCACCTCTTGCTTTGTGCAAAGCACTGAAGTTACATGAACTGGCACGTGGAGCAGCAGGGATGCCTGTGCGAGGAGCTGAGTGCCCGCTCAAATGTAGGGGCTTCCTGACACCCTGGGTCAGCCAGCTGCCTCTCTGGTGCAAGAGCCAAAGGTCACCATGGAGGCATTATCAGAAATTTCCTTCCTGTCTTCCTACTGCCTGCAACCGTTAGAGCCACCCACTACATGGACTGCGGTTTCCAGGGTGGGCAGCGGGCGCCTCTGTGGAAGCCACCTCAGCTGGCAGGTGGAGATGTCAGCAGAAAGGCCTGCAGGTGCAGTGGAGGGAAAAGAAGCAGAGAGAGAAATCCTCCCAGCCAGGTAAGGCTTGGGACAGGCCCTGCTGAGGGATACGTGTAGGTCTCTGTAGCCATGCTCTTCCCACGTGCTCTGAAAGTGGGAGTTTTGATAGGCTTTCCAGCTTTGGTCTAAGCCCTATGCCTCTTGGAGAGCTTTGCCTTCCCTCCCCTCAACCAACCGTTCATTCACTCAGCTATCAAATCAACCGGCCCAAAACTCACATTTCTCCAGGGTGTGGCCTTTCACATAGAGCCCTTCCTCCACTTTTTCCCCTTCTGGGTGGTTTTCAACCTTGGATGCCCATTGGAATTCTTTGGGGAGTTTTAGAAAGTACTGATGCTTGGCTTCCACCTCAGAGATTCTGATTGAAACAGTCTGAAGCGCCTGGGCATGCTGATTTTTTATAGCTGCCAGGTAATCCTAATGTATTAGAATAAGCAACAAGGTGGAAACTCATTAATCTAAAAAATAAGTACGACCCACCCCGTCTAATTCACTAAAGGGAAGAGAACACTGCTAATCATCTTCATTGGTTTGCTTATGAGGTGGCAGGAGAAGATTTGACTTTGGGGGGTGGGCACACGGTGCAATATAGAGATTTTGTAACATAGAAATCCACATATGAAACCTATGTGTTCATGTTGATCAATATCACCACAATTTAATAAATAGATGAAAATGAAAAAAAGAGAATAAATCGTAAGTTTAAACTAGAATCATAAGGTCTTACATAGACATTAGGTTTAGAACTGTTGCAAATACAGACTTTCCAGTCCCAGTGTGGAGTTGTCTAATGGAAACCTAAGCCTAGAGCACAGTGCTAATTCTGTGGCGATGTCATGGACTGAATGTGTGTGTTCTGCTAACATTTGTATGTTGAAATCTTAACTCTCAATGCCATGTTATTAGGAGGTGGGGCCTTTGGGAGCTGATTAGGTCATAAGGGTAGAGTCTTCGTGAATGGAATTGGTGCCCTTATTAAAAGGACCCCACAGAGATTCCTCACCCTCTTTCTGCCTTGTGCGGATACAGTAAGAAGACAGTAACCCGGCTGGTATGGCTCAGTGGTTGAGCATCAACCCATGAACCAGGAGGTCACAGTTTGATTCCCGGTCAGGTCACATGCCTCAGTTGCGGACTCAATCCCCTGTAGCGAGCATGCAGGAGGCAGCTGATCTATGATTCTCTCTCATCATTGATGTTTCCACTTCTCCTTCTCCCTTCCTCTCTCTGATATCAATAAGAAAACATTTAAAAACAGAAAAGAAAAAGAGGACAATATGGGTGAGGGCCCTTAACAGAATCTGGCATGCTGGCACCCTGAGCTTGGACTTCCCAGACTTCAGAACAGTGAGGGGGAAAATTTGTTGTTTAAGCTACTTAGTCTGTGTATGTTATAGACTGAACTGACTAAGACAGGTTGTTACAGTTCATGAATAAAGTTGGCCTAAGAGGAGGCAAAGAGTTATAATAAGCATTGCTCATGCTGGATTTATCAGGAGAAAGCCTGCACAGGCTTTTATAAGACATTTGGCTATATGAACAAAGGATGGTTTAATACATGATTAGCTGAATAGTAACATATAGTTCTATGAAGAGTTGATTACCTTCTTCAGATAGCTGAAGGGTTGTTCATGGAATGAAAATTGGATTTATTCTTTGGAGCCAGAGGAAAGAATGAAGATCAAAAATGAAATGTTAGGCCTAGTTGATTTGGCTCAGTGGATAGAGCATCAACCTCTGGACTTAAGGGTCCTGGGTTCGATTCTGGTCAAGGGCACATGCCTGGGTTGCAAGCTTGATCCCCAATAGGGGGTATGCAGGAGGCAGCCAATCAATGATTCTCTCTCATTGATCTTTCTAGCTCTCCCTCTCCCTTTCTCTCTGAAGTCAATAGAAATATATATTTTTAAAAAGAAATGTTGCATTGTAGAATATTTCCATTCAGTCTAAGGGGGTGAGATGTTATCTTTACAAAACACTGCCCAATAGTGGAGTTAGCAACACCAAAAGGTAGCGGGATTCATTTTTTTTTTAAATTTATTTTCCAATTACAGTTGACATACAATATTATATTAGTTTTAGGTGTACAGCATAGAGATTAGACATTTATGTACCTTATGAAGTAATCAACCTGTTAAAGTCGGTACCCATCTGACACCATATATAGTTATTACAATATTATTGACTATATTCCCTATGCTATACTTTACACTTGTGACTATTTCTATAACTGGCAATTTGTACTTCTTAATCCCTTTCACAACACTCCCTTCCTTCTGGTGACTATCAATTTGTTCTGGGTATCTGTGTTTATTTCTGTTTGTTTTTTAGATTTCACATATAAGTAAAATCATATGGAATTTGCCTTTCTCTGTCTAACATTTCACTTAGCATAATACCCTTTAGTTCCATTCATGTTGTTGCAAATGGCAAGATTTCATTTTTTTTAATGGCTGAGTAATATTTTATTGTATACTAGAGGCCCGATGCACGAAATTCGTGCAAGAGTAGGCCTTTCTTCCCCCGCTGCTGGCACCAGCTTCCCTCTGGCACCCGGGACCTGGGCTTCCCTCGCAGCCCCAACTTCGTCCAGAAGGATGTCCGGTCAAATTAGCATATTACACTTTTATTATTATAGACTAGTGGCCTGGTGCACGATATTCGTGCACAGGGGAGGGTGTGTTCCTCAGCCTGGCCTGCACCCTCTACAATTTGGGACCCCTCGAAAAATGTCCTGCCAGTTTACAGAGATCGGGCCTAAATCAGCAGTCAGACATCCTTCTCGCAATCCAGGACTGCTGGCTCCTAACCGCTCACCTGCCTGCCTGCCTGCCTGATTGCCTCTAACCACTCTGCCTGCTGGCCTGCTCACCCCCAACTGCCCCCCCACCCCACTGCCGGCTTGCTTGCCCCCAAATGCCCCCTCGCCAGCCTGATCACCCCAAACTGCCCCCCCCTGAAGGCCTGCTTGCCCCTACCTTCCCTCCCCACTGGCCTGCTCATCCCAAACTGTCTCCCTGCTGGCCTGCTCACTCCAAACTGTCCCTGCCCCGCTGTCCTGATCACCTCCAACTGACCCCCACTGATGGCCTGCTTGCCCCCAACTGGCCCCTCTGCTGGTCTGCTTACTCCCAACGGCTCCGCCCCCCACCAGCCTGATCACCCACAACTGCCCTCCCCTCTTGGCCTCTAACCGCCTCTACCTCGGCCCCGCCACCATGGCTTTGTCCAGAAGAACATCTGGAAGGTCTCCCAGTCTAATTAGCATATTACTCTTTTATTGGTATAGATATATTTGTCTGTAAATATGATTATGATTGCAGATATGAGTAGGACCAGGTAAAATTTTATAGAATGGGCCTTTTATTACAGATGGTTTGCCATGTATGCATTTTTTCTAAAGAAGTAAAAATTACATTAAAAAATGTTTCAGGAAGACTTTGAGAAATTTACAGTATCTGCTTTTCTTCCAAGAAAGTTGTCACTTTTATGCCAGAGTGAGAATTATTTGTATGCTTTCTATGTCAGCATTGGGCCACTGTGACTGGGAGGCACTTAGCTTGACTTGAGAGTAATTACCTTGCTCACTGGCTGGGAGGGAGCATGTGTGGCAGAGGAGATAAATACTCAGTTCTGGATTATTCATAGATTGCTGACTTTCTGGATTGATTGTGCAAGCCCCTCCTTTTATTGATGTCCACCTTCTGTTGACAGACATCTACCCTGGGAGAGAAATGAGATGAACCTCTCTTTCTTGTCATTGTAAAAAGCATTTGAATTCCTAAGGTGTGATAAGGCCACCCAGCCATCCACAGTCAAGGTACACATTTTCATGGAGGATGTTCCCACTTTTGAATAAATTAAAACAATTTTTTTCTTTTAATTTAAACTTTCTTCTATAACTGTTTTCTTTTTGCTTAAAAGCTAGCTTTTTTTGAAACTGCTTCCAAAGCTTTTCAAACTGTATATGTCCTTGGAATGAATTTATAAATAAGAATTGAGCCCAGTGGGTATGACTCAGTGGTTTAGCATCGACCTATGAACCAGGAAGTCACAGTTTGATTCCAGGTCAGGCCACATGCCCAGGTTGTGGGCTTGATCCCCAGTACGGGGCGTGTAGGAGACAGCCGATTAATGATTCTCTCTCATCATTGATGTTTCTATCTCTCTCCCTCTCCCTTCCTCTCTGAATCAGTAAGAATATATTTTAAAGGGAGAGAGAGAGAGGGAGAGAGAGAGAAAGAGAGGAGAGTATATATGTTTGTAAATAAGAAAACATGTATTTGATGCTCTTAGAAAGTCTTATTTTCTCTCATTAAAACTTGTGCAGTATAGGGAACTCCATAGATTCTCTTAATTTGAAGAAAGTTAGAGGGAAAGGTACTAATTCAGAGTTCCTTGGGAAAATGTGTCACTTATATATTTTTTATGTTTATTTTTTTTAAATCAAAAACTGAAATATTTTCTATTCAGAAAATATATTTGGATCTAAATATCTTCTATAATTTTAACCCTAAAATATCAATTTAAATATTTTAAAAATGGTTTGGATGTTTGTTTTTTAAATAAGTTAGGTTACTGGAGTTCTACATGTTACTGGATCACCTGGGGTAATTTTCTAATTGGAAAATTAAGAATTATAGTCAGAGGGGAGGACATGAGAATTTTTAAAGAACATATTCAATTTACTTTAGAAGCCGAACCTCTCTTATCATGTGACTTGTTTTGTATGTTTGTTAAACTATATTATCACATAAGCATTGCTGCTATTGGGACAGTGACAGTTGATTCGGGTCATTTGAATGTCCACTGTCTGTTTTAATTTGTATGTTCATTTTGACTCTGTCATATGCTCAATCTTCAGTGGAAATCATGAGAACCTATTATTTTTGCCTGCTACCTACTTTACATTGGAAATATTCTTTTTTACCCAGAGGGACCTTAACTTTGATGTAAGGGATTGTTTCCATTGCCAACTTTTTTCTTCCTTGCCAAGTAAGAGTTGTGAACTCTTCAGT